ATTGTTTGAACACTATTTTGTATCGATATCTAGCTGCCTTCTGTCATTTAAATAAAGACTTTAAAAACAATAGCATAAAAGCGATATTATATCTTGGAGAAAAATCAAATTGATTAGAATTACAGTTTTTGCTTTATTCTGATTTGCCATTGAAGTTGGTTAAAGAGTCTTCTCAAAACACATTCTTCTTTCGAAGGTTGACAATTAAAAGGGCAACTTGGTCAGAGAGTTGATTACACTTTTTTACTCTACGTTTTTTCAAACAAACATTTCGTGCTATAGATATATACACATAAATTATTAGTACTTAGAGCATGGTTTTGACCCTTCTATTGTTGCTCTCATTGTAAAATCAAGGTGACAAAAGCGGGGTACATCCGCGGACAATCGCCGCGATCCTTGGCATGTATCGGCTCTGTTTCATGGATAACATAATTCAAGCTATTGTGTTTTGTTTGTAATACCGACATGTTTGACCTACAACGGATAGATTGGATTGATTCAAGAATGAAACGCGCATATAAATAGGGCATGAAGAATATACATAAAATTTTACTTTAAAAAACAAAAACTATAGTAGTCATTTTTAAGCAATGATAAATGGTGTTTGTTCCCTATAACTATATAAGCTATCGGGCATATGTTATTTAAAAGTTTGTTAGAATGTTTTTTGTTTTTATAAATTGTTTTTAACGAATTTCTGTTTTTTGACATCTTTTTATAGTTCCGTAGGTCATAAAAAAAACGGAACCCTTGTAGGATCACTTTATTGTCCGTCCGTCTGTCTATCAAGACCCTTTTTTATTATTATTTAAACTTTTCACATAATGTTGATTTTACTTTTGCAAACTATCCCACGTACATCTAGTACTGTTTAAACCAAATCAGGTTACATTACTCAAAAATGTTTTCTCTTATTTGTTGAATGTAAGTTGGTGCCACTTTCTATCAGCATGTCTGCCATTTCTCATTAATACCAACATTAGACCTATTGATTGACACTGATTGCTTATTAACTTTCACTCTTAAAATAAAGCTCGGTTACATTTGCTAAAGGTACCTAAGTATGTTTTTTTAATATTTGTCATATTTTTGACAATGACGTTTACCGTGAATTTTAATCGCCGATATAATTATATTCAAACATTTTGTTTATTTTTTTTTGTAACAATAAGGCTTTGTCCAATTTTAGCAGAGGAATGCGACAACCAGTTACAAGCTAATGTAATTTTAAAATATACCAAAAGTGCTTTCATTATTTTTATTACATTTAATAATATCAATAGCTCTTATACTATTTTCTTAACTCGTACTATATTATAATAATAATTAATAATTTATCACATCTCCATTCAATTCACAGACGGATTACTTGGTGACTGTCACCAGATGGTAAAGTTAACCTTGGAGTTCACCACGCCTTTTAGTCACGAAGTGTGACCTAAGTTGAACTTAAAATCTGTACAATAATGTCCTTTGAAAAGTTATTTCATAATTCGGTTAAAGGTAGGCAACGCATATGCAATTGAGTATGTCTATGGGCAACGGTCACTTCGCTATTTCAGCGATTTTAGGTGGCCGCTCGCTCGTTTGTCACCTTATAATATAAAAAAAATCCTTATTAAATTGCGCGTTTATTAACCAATAACTGAATTGCTTATAATTAACTAAGAGTAATTTAATCTGAATTTAGTGTAAAAAACAACACTAAAGAACAATCTTTTCTTTAAATGCCATCTCCCTTCTAATGCGATCGTAACGGAAACTTGCACTCCTAAAACCGCGTCTTCTAAAAGAACATAGCACCTTAAGTCACAATTTTATTCTTCGGCCTACTTCCCAAATGATCAATTTTGGTACGGTTTCCTTTTCTATTTAATATACTTGTTATTATTTTCACTTTTCTGTATGATTGTACAATGTATCAAGTCTAATATGTAGCCGTATTCAAGCTGTCTGTACCTTCCGATCAGCTTTTACTTTCGTTGATCGTCGCTCGAGGCGACTTCCGTAATCGAAAGTACTTTCGTTGACAACATTCTTATTTTTATTTAAGACATTAATTGATTGGTAACCTTGATCTGCAACTATCATTAAACAATTTTTAATGATTTTATCGTTGTTTATCATTTTTTTTTTAAACTAAATATGAAAAAATTATGTCGTATAGTTATTTGAGAGAAATCAAACAGTTAACTTCAACTTAACTGTTTTTATTTGCTAAGTCCTTGTTGACACGATCCTATTTTATACTTACGTGTCTATTATCTATTTCTCGTATTCTCTTTTCTTTCTTCTTGCCGCTCGATGTTGTATTTCACATACTTTGTAAATTATTTTATTTCATTATGAGTTGTGCTGTTAAAGAAACTTTCTACTAAATTACTTTTAATAGACATTGATTAAATAATTCCATTTCTCTCGTTAATTTATAATTGAAATAGTGAAAAGTTTCTACAACTGATTAAATCCCTGGTGACATATTTAAAATTCAATGAAACTCCTTTATTACTTAGAGACGAAACTCAAAAAATGACCTTGAATTATTTCTTACTCACATCTAAACTCTGCAACTTTTCTCGAAGGTCTATACATAAACTCTATCAACTATCGCTCGCGTCTTGTCCATTAATAATGAAAATTGTCTATAATTTTCTTGCCAGAACTACAATTACATTAGGCATTTCGTGACTGCAACTGCTAATCACTAAATAACACATAATTGAAATGGATAACGGAACAATATCAAATTAACGAGTCCACTGTTCCAAACCATTTCATTACGCGACAGTACTTTGACTAGTCAAGCTTGACCTTGGAAATATTGACCATGTCGTATTTCATAGTTGATACAAATACTAGCGAAATACTTATTAAAGTTTGGTTACTGTATAGACACATTATTATTAGATTAGCCTTTTATCTTTCATTGTTAGTAGTAACTTACTTAGTAAGTGCTTTAGGATTACCACTTTTCTAATTCTAATTTCTTTATTCTAGTATTTTTGAGGAATCCATTTTGCTCTGAAAAGTATTCCTGTATTATACTTTAAATAGTAATATTTGGAAATCATACACCATATCAAAGGCCGGCAACTCATCCATGGTTCCTTTGGTTCCATGGGCGTCGATGAAGATCTCGGTGTTCCCGCTGCTCGTTTGCCCCTTCTCTTATAAAAAAATGCAATGGTTTAATCTTAATTTGCAATTAAATAATGTCTGATTTCCAATAATGTTAGTCACGATCGAAATAAAAAGGACTTAATGTGCCTCAATTGATTAACATTTATCAATGAAGATTAATATTATTACCCAATTCATGTGTTGTTGATCAAAATTAGATCGTAAATATAAAATCTCATTACATCAAACTAATCATGACCAATCAAAATAATTGTAAAAACCTTCAGTTCGATTCAATTTACTGTCAAATTTACCAAATTTACACCAATAAATAAAAGACAGACTAATGTAATTAAGTATTAGTTTTATAAAGGTCGTGAATCCATAAGTTTTTAATTACGTTGGATAATAGATTATAAATATAAATAAGCCTGACAGACTATAACCCTAAAGACTCCAGACGAAAATCCGAAACAGACTTTCAAAAATATCAATTTTGCCGTTTACGATAAAAATGTCGCAATGATAGAGATATCCTTCCAAAAAAGTTCTATCCGCCCTTCTGTTGCTTAAGCAATAAAGTACTTTAACAAATGTTTCTGCAAAAAATTATCATGTAATCATGTTTGTGGCAGAGGGCGCCACCGCCACGCGCGCTTGTTGATACAGTAGCGATCGGGAGCGCGCGCGTCACGCGTCTCTCGTCAAGGTTGACTCCGTTCACCACTCGCCTACTGGTTCGACGACCCATTGATACGTACAAATTAATTTGTTCTTGCATTATCCTATTTTATTCTTGTTCTTCGTCTGAGAATGAAGTCCTGGGTTTTAACTTCCTCATTCCAAAATTTATGGTTCAATAAATTTTTAAACTTAACGAGATGGTTCATAATTGTACCTACAGTCCGAGATATTTAAAAGAGCAATTTTAAGTTTTATTTTGATGCAGCTTAATGAAAAGTTGCCCGCACCAAAAATGAATTATTTAAAACTATGAATATGAATGTAAGTGATAGTTGCTTATAAAGTATATGAAATAACTCATCATCAAAACTAACTCATAAATAACAGTAAATATAATAAAAATGTCATATCAAATTCAACTAGTTTCTCATACATTGATATTCTTCATGCGAAAAGAAAATCCATGGATCAACTTTCGATTGTACGGTAACAGCTTACAAAACCATAGTTAACGCGTCTAAATGAATAGAAAACATGGTATAACAAGGTTTAACAATCGAATAGAAATTTCCAATCAGTAAGCGCCGTCGGGAGCCGACTGCAGTACTTGTGAAGAATGTAAATGAGGCATACGTAGTTCTCAGGGCGACGAATAACGACGAACGGTTTTGAGAAAACAATATTCCGATACAGCACGTGGATGTAATTGTAAATGAAACTAAATTCCTCAAACGTCATTCTTTAATTTGTAATATGAGAATTGAATTGTAAGCCAATTTTTTTTTGCTTATAAATTCAACTAAAATTACTCCTTCATTTGTATTATGGAAAGACTTACGCTAATATTCATACGTATTTAAAATATACAGAACGATACTAAGATGGAAATTGCAATTAGTTATCATATTATCGCAGCATTCCAAAAGAATCTCTATTTCTTCAACTTGATCCTTTACTAGATATTGATAGTACATAAATTCATATTGTATTTAAAAGAATTTATTTAAGATTAGTCACTTTATAAAAAATGGTATTTTATTTTTATAAAAGCGGTTTTTCCCATCTTAATGTTATTCTAAATTCGTTTGGCCAAGTTCCAAGCGATGCAGAAATCACATAAAAATATACGATTTACGTGTTTTGAATGAAACCCTTTGTTACTTGTTGCTAACATTATTTCTCTATCTTTGCAGAATCGGCCTTTGCGGATTTGATAACCCACTCAGAGACCCGAAGACAGAAGAAGTTAAGAAACACGTTGGACAGGTACCATATTTAAATATTATATTAAATATAACACATCAATCATCCCATAACCAAGATGATGGTCAACTTACGATTAGGTAGAGCCCGCTTCAACATCTTCGCACGAATTGGCCCGGCTCGCCCGGTGAAATACCACGACCACACAGAAGACAGGCGTGAAGTGGAAGCAATTCCGCGTTTCGTCTGATGAGTGTGCGTCCCGGAGGCCTTGTTCAGTCCTCTTTCCCTTCCCACCCTTTTTCTTATAAGGAAAGGATGGGAGGTGGAAGTGGACTTTTCGGATGAGAGGATGCATGGAAAGAGAATATATTTTCTTTATGTGCATCCTCTCCTCCGTCGATAAAAGGTAGGCAACGCATATGCAATTGCGGATGTCTATGGGCAACGGTCCCTTCGCTATATCAACGACTTCAGGTGGCCGCTCGCTCGTTTGGCACTTTATGATATAAAAAAAAGGTGTACCACCTTTTTTTATATCATAAAGTGCCAATTAAATACTAAATGTGGCCAGTAAATAATACAGCGCTCCGATTGAAGACCAAATTGTTAGAAAGTCAAATCTAAATATTGGTAGAATCTTGTTGCTAAAATCCTTAGAAATTCCATCGTGAGTTTTAAGTTACGATGATAATTAAAGCCAACAGCAATTATTCTTAACGATATAAGCAATAAATGTACGTTTGAAGACACATAAATAGGTATTAACAATTGTTATTATCTCTAATGACGGCTTTAGCTGGTCTCACGGCGACGTAACGTAATTTGATGTCACCAATGCAAAATACTGACTACTAAGAATATATTATATGGCTTGAAACTAGGGACTAAAGATTACGAAGGTCTATTAATCAAATATAGCAAAGTTTGACAAACAATTTAACTCCTTATAGTTGTAATAAGGTCTGTTTTTGATTTATATTAATCTTATATATGTATTAACCCGCAAACCGTATTATATTTTACATTTATTCCCATTATAAGCTAAGCTTTGTGTTTTTATGACTAAATAAAGATCTTTAAACCGAACATTCCCAATTGAGTATCGCCAGGAGACTCTACTTTTGTTCTTTCCCTTTACTACTGTCTTTCTCTACTTCCGTCTCTTACTCTCTCTCTCTCCGTCTCTCTAGCTCTTTTAAATCGAATATCGTAGATATTATAGGTAGGTATCGTAGGTAAGATTTAATTATAATTACTAATCCAGATTAACTATAAATAATCATCAGTCTTTATCACAGTTACGATTATAAAATGACAAATGTAATCGAGCTTTTTTTGTTTTTGTCTATTTCATCTCAATGTTTTTTTATAATTCAAATTAATAGTAACGAGCGCCAGTAAAGGTCAATGATTTAAGCTTTACCATAAGGATTTTTTACACTCAATGTATTTACTTGTTTAATAGCGTTAGTACAAAAAACTAATTTCCATATGTTTTATTAATTATTTTGATTTACATTTTAGTTTGTTATTTCCTTTGCGAATGAACCGAGTAAATATTGGCAACAAATTTTTAAAATTCAATAATAACGCTGCTTAACCTTTTCAGTGCTCTTTTAGTAGATTTTATAACTTTTGCTACTCATTCTCTATTAAAATCTTAAATGTCATCTAGTAATGTATTATACAAAAAATAATCTTTCAGTTATTAAATAATACCTTTCCTTTGTTCTTAAACTCTGTACATTTTGTTATAAGCCAGATCTTGTAATATTAAAGTAGCTGTGATTAAAATACTTATTTCTGCACGAATTAATTATCCACGGCCCGGTGGGTGAACGGCATTCGAAGCCGCGACAATTAACTATGTTTCATAAATATTGCTAAACTTTCCGCTACCGGCTACTTCGCCCCTTCATTATACTAGTTTCACACAAGGACAAAATCATGCGGCAGTACATAAGGAAACTGTATGAACTCACTCGCTGACTATAGATTTTGACTCTCGTATCGATCGTATATAGCCATCCCTCTCATTCTCTTTTTTTTTAAAGAGACAACGATAAGTGCCTAATGTCACAGCAGAAATTTTTTTAACGAGAGACTTTGTTTTGATAGTTTAGATTGTTGTAGATTGTTTGATAAGTGTCCGTTCAATCGTAGTATTGGACTGTCTAATTATTCTGCCAACGTGTGAAACTAGTATAACGTTGATAAACAAAAAATAAATTTGAATTAATATACGGACGTAAAGTAACCGACTTGTAAGGAAGTTAAAATAACATCTACAAGTTGATGAATAATTTAAAACTTTACTGTTAAGTTTGATTGTGTAAAATAAGTAATATATTTGAATTTTATTTTGTATACTTCCGGATGATTGGTTTGGATTTTATAAGAATTTTTTTATACTTGTTACTTTTGCAGTCAGTAATTCAAAGCAAGGAAACAATACTTAATTAAAAAAGTTGCTTTGATAGTTTATATAGAGTAAACCATTCTATAAAAAGTACTTATTTCATTGTTGTACTTAGTAATCAAGCCAAGAGGTTAATGCCTGGGCAGCGGACAATTCTATAGATTAAACAATGGAACAAAAATTCCATTGATCGCTTAATGACAAAAACCCAACAATCACGTAGGTACTTACTTTTACAACGAAAAGTTATTATTTTCCCCTTGCCTTTGTTTTTTTAGAATTAATGACTTTAAAACGTAACAAGTCATATCCTAAATGAAAAATTAAGCTCTATAAATTGATGGCCTGCCTGAATGTGTTTTCTGAAAACCATTCTTAAACAATCATAAATATCTTATCTTTCTTACTAATACTAAATGCTAATGTTTAGATGGATGGATGTTTGTTTGAAGGTATATCCAGAACAGCTGAACAGATCTCTATAAATTTTTTCATACAAATAGAACATAGTCTGAAAGAACACATAAGCTACTAATTTTGTTTTTTTTTACAATTCCTCGCGGACGGAGTCGCAGGCCATAGCTAGTAATTGGTATTTAGTAGTTTAGATAATTTTATTGGTATGAAATAATATGAATATTTATAAAATTGAATTTTTTGTGCAGGGCGTGAAAATAAAAATGGATGACGCCGGTAACATACTCATCAGACGCTACTCCAAGAGTAGTGTGTTTGTGAAGAGTACAGCCGCCACAAACAACGAGGAGACGGCGATAGGCCAGGATATACTCAAGCTGCCTGGATACTCATTGGAACAGGAGAAAATATTTAAGGTAATTTAAGTTAAGATCTACTAAAGATAGATTTATTGAATAAAACTTACATATACAACGTAGAGCATGTATTTTCTGTGTACGCTTGGTCCAAATGTACGAATGTAGAAGCATATGAGTAATAGATTTCCCCAAAATTATGAGTGTAGGTTCAATAAAGATTTAAATTACTTGCGACATATTATTAAAAGATAGATTAAATATAGCTTAATACTTTTTACTCACAAGAAGGCAATTATCTTCGCCTCAACATATGGGTGGTGCCGTAATTTCCGTCAAGATGAACCCATTTGTTTATGACGAAACTTGGAATATTAATATCTTGGTGTTCTCGTAATAATCCGGCTCGTGAGCGAGATGGTAATTTGAATTAGATGATACTATAAGGAAGCTTCTGTTTCGCTTCGGACTGTAATCGGTTGTAACGTCATCTTTGATCTTGTAAATAAACTGATTATCAAAATAAAGTACATTTTTAATATTACGATGTCTTCTAAAATATTAAAACTAGAATTGCAAAAAAAAAGTTTTGTACCAAATTTTATCAGCTTTCTGTAAAGCCATATTTTCTTGCATAATAGTATAACGATATATTAAGAAAAAAAATAGTCAGGTCGTATTTAAAAACAAAACATTCAAAAAATAGTTATAATTACGTATATGTTTTACATTTTAAAATTGGAGTTTTAAATGTGTACTGCCTCATTTCCACGTCGAGTATAGTCACTGGAAAAACTTGAACTGAAGGATGATTGTTTATCGATAATGTGTTACATCTACCTCACGTTCGAGTTGTTTCCTCTTCATGTGTTGGATTTGAGTTATATATGAATTCTGTTTATCGTGAGTATACTCATAATACTTTACCTTGTTCATATGAAAACGTGGTAATGTTCAGAATTAAATTCTGAGATTGTAATATTTTTGACCTAATTTTTATACATCAAATATTGAAGAAAGATTATAAGAAAGATAGACTATGACAGATCTAGATTTTATAACCTATCATGTTTTTACTTTGTCACTACAATAATTACAAATACTTTTGAAACTATAATTTGTGTCATACATTAGTGGTTAAAACAATAATCATTGGAGGGTAACAATCGAAACATTGTGCTACTTTCACACGAAGGCATAACAGTGGGGCAGTACAATACTAATATTTAACACGTTAGCTGCCAGAATGATTTTTCGAAAAACGAAAAAAAAAATTTTACATTTTGTCCAAAACCATTTGAAAACACCTAAAAATATAGTAATACCTTATTTACATTGGTCATATACTTATTATTAACATATGAATGGAAGTATTGCTTGTCGGACACAAAGTCCGACACGGCCTGATTGAAACATTAGCTTGTCGGACATATAGTCCGACATGGCAGCTAACGTGTTAAGGACACACGCCAAGACAGAAAAGTAAGTAAGAGTAGGTGCACCTTCAATCAATAGGAGTACTGCACGTGTCTACTCTTCTGTCTCAGAGTTCTGTCCTCGTGTGAAACAAGCATTACTGTTAATGCGAGATGCATTGTGCAGCGCTAGTAATATCTTGTGCATCACGACTCCCAGCTCACGACTGATGCCTTGACCATGCCATTGCCACATAATTTCTTTTTAGTTGACGTTCTTTCGAAATTATCAAATTACTGACGGTGTTCTTTTTTTGATCTCTCGAATATTACAATTTTTTCTATATCAAAAGTACTCTGTCTTTTCTCAGTATTTATTTTATTATTAATTAAAAATATTTTAATTGTTTCATTTAGTACAAATTATTATTAGTAAAGATTTGAAAATGATGCTGTTAAGAACCTTAAAGAAGTTGCAATTTTATAAGTGTTATGTCAAATCAACGTTAACAAATTCGACGATAGCGTAATATTAATAAAAATAGTCGTAGACAATTTTTCTTCTGTTGTCAAACACACAATTAAGTTTTGAGTTCTTTTTCATTTCTTTTTAGACCATTAACAGAGATGCAATTAATCTTAACAACGAAGTAGGAAATAGTAAGGAATAATTAGGTCGAATCAAACAATACGAAATTCATTTCCTAGTGTAACACAAGAGATTTGTTAGTAATTCATACACCATTAACAAGCTTTACGTAACCAGAAGCCGCGAACAATGCGAGAAGATAGTGCCATTAAGCAAGGGAAAGAATGGTCATTGCCTCACTTATTTGTTTGTATCTTATGCTGTTTCCTTGAGAGTAATGAAAGCAATTCGCAGATACGATTCTTATTGTCCATGTCGCAACTTGTGGATGAAAAATTTGAAATAGATCTGCGGGGTTATACAAAATGCATTTGCTTCCAAGCGATTCCAAAGTGTATGGAGTTGACTCGCGATAATCACGTAACTTATCGAAAGTTCGTTATGGAATAGCTTCGGAGCGAATGCACTTTGTCTAACCCTTTGCAAGCAATCAATAAACAAATTAATAGACTTAGAACTTTTGAGCTTATTGTAGTTCCTTTGAATTACAGTAAATTTTAAAATAACACATCAATTTAGTTTTTTACTTACCGCACTTGGGGCCATCTTTCACTTCTACGATCTTATATTTTACTTCTTTATTTTCCTTCAAGCCTTTAAGTATTGTGTATATTTCATTTGATAATTGAGGCCTTTTCAGAAGGTTGAATTTTGAACTTTTCTCAATTGATAAAGGTTATTTTGTTGTGTGTTTTGTTTAATCACGTTTCACGGTGACCTTGAAACCTGTTGCTCTAAATTAAAATCCATTCATCTCTATAATTAGAAACCGTTGTAAGCTCAGGTCAGTATTTCTTAGAAACACAACAATCAGTAGACAATACAATGTGTTGTAACCCCTCGATCCCTGCGATTTTTTTCGTGCGATACTTTTCAGTTCCCACAACCAGTTCCCTTGAGAGTAATTTAAAGACTAACAATGTTGTCTTCTTCATCAAATGTGTCAACTAGAGTAAAGTTCATAAGTACATTTAAATTAGTTCTGTTTAAACAGTTAGAGATGTTTATTTTAAACTAAAATATGGAAGTGATGTTAATGCTAGAATATCTTACTAATATTATAAATGCGAAAGTTTAGATGGATGGATGGATGGATGGATGAATGTTTTTTTTTATGTGCGACATATCACCCTCTCGTTTTCTTCTAGCGTGAAGGCCCGTACCGTTATGTGCGATTGCTTATCATTTACGTTAATAATATTTAACAATTGTCATGATTTGTAATGAAATTATATAAATATTATAAATACTATTAAAAAAAAATAGAATATTGACTTAACTACTAACAATATTTTATGAAAGACCAACATAAAAATAACACATGTAGAATATTGTCTGGAAGAACACATAGGCTACTTATACAGATAGTCGCGGGCGACGGCTAGTTTATTAAAATAAATGTTATTTACCTGTAAAACTTTTTTCTACAATGTATATTTATAATTAAAAATCAAATTGTTAAACATTACCAATAAATAATAACTGATAAAAAGTAACCTTCAAGCCGTCATATAAATGTATTACAAAATTCCGGGAACACTTCCAATTAAATGAACCTTCAGCGAAGGTTTTTAATCTACCAATCGCGCTAAACGAAGCATTAATAATTAAAATACATCCAAAACAAATGAGTTGATAAATTCCCCCGATGACTTATTGTGGGAGGTAGTTTTTGTAGATACGATCAACATCTCTTTTCACTTTGTCCGATGTCTAGTTGAGTTGAGATGAACATCTTGATGTGACCGAAGAACCTTGACATAGCTTATATAATAACCCTTTCATTTTATGTAACGCAATGGGATATCAATAATTATAAATACAATAATTTTTGTTTTGTTATTTCCTAAGATTTGTAAATCAATTAATTACAATTTCAAATGCATCATTTCTTTTACATAGTACTAGGAATTAAACTATTTAAACTTTCGTTAGACAGTATTGTAAACTTTGGTACCGAAACCAGGAAAATTACGTGACTTCGTAGTTTAGTTTATAGTATGTACGAGTAGTTTAATTTTATAAATGTGAAAGAAAAATTTGTAAAATCTTTTTTATTTTTATTGAATGGAATTAGAACTTATTTAATGGAGAATATAGTGTCGTGGGAAAAGTAGAATCTACTAGTACTTATATAAGAAAATTAACAAGGCCACTGCGGATGCGCGGACGCTTGATAAATCAATTGTTTCATTTAGAAAGACAGCGGCTCTCTTTAGAGAATTACTTCGATAACATCTCATATCGATTGAATAGTAACACGACTGAGATTTCGAAATAACAGTCATGGAAATCATCGAACAATTTTGTATTTTGTCGGCTACTAAAAATAACTACCAATTTACATTTGAAACTGACCCACAGTTATTAAATGACACTAGAAACTTTATCTATATATTCTTTACTAGAAACATCTTTTACAACTTGTGGATTATTTAGTCACTAACTACTCTGATGTCCTGCAATGAAGTCCAAAATTACATATTTTAATATGATTATTATGGGATGTTAACAATATTGCAGGAATGATAGTGTATTTAACTATTTCATTACGATTTTTTGATAATCTAATAGTTAATAATTTGTATCCAGCTGTTCGACATGAAGAAGTTCCAGTCGAATGTGAATCGCGAGCTTCGGCGCTCGTACCCGGACCGGCGGCGGCTGGAGACGCAGTGCCTCAGCGCGGTCGCCTTCGTTAAGTCGGACGCGGATCTGCTCGAGTGCCCCATCTGGGTGCTTGTCATCAACGTCGTCGCTATGGATATGCTCAAATCTAAACTGCCACCAGGTAAAATCTTATTTTATAATTATACTTACTAATCACACTAATATAACAAATGCGAAAGTTTAGATGTATGTATCTCAAAAACGGCTCAACGGATCCCGATGAAATTTGGCGCAGATCTAGAATATAGTCTGGAAGGTGGCATAGGCTTCTTACGTTGTTCTAAAAGTTAAAAGTAAATTTAGATGGATGGTTGGATAACATTATTCCAAAACGACTATACAAATCTGAATAAAAAATTAGCTTAACTAGCGCAAAGGCTACATACTTTTTTTTTTAATTTTGCGTGGACAAAGTCACGGGCAAAATCTATTGTAAATATGACAATTGTGAATTAACCTCTGGAATGACGACCACGATCAGTTTGTCAAGACTGTTTCGGCAATAACAATCTGCCTCATCTACAAGAACGGCAAATCTGCAACTAATTTAAAAAGCCGATATACGGACGATACATACAGTGGATGTGCATAGTTTGCTTTGGTCCTAATTAGTATGATTTTTTTGTATTGCTACTTAAAAATTCGTTACGAATTATTCAAACCTTCGTCAGATACTAATCCGTATGAATGTCATGGAATATCAATTTTAGATTTTTTTTTAGATACATTTGTCAGTATAATTACTTATTGAGGTACAAAAATTGATAAAATAATACTCCTGACAGATTAAACACAGACGAACATAATGACAACATAATTTTTCCGCATTCAGTTTTTGCAATATTGATACGCTATTTAAAGATTTTATTTCCTTCTAATATGAGATTGAATAGTTCAAACTGTGATTATAAAATACTTTGCTTAAAAATAATACGTTAACCTTATGGTTTTATATTAATATAATGAATAAAGCTAGACCAAAACTAATTTCAAAAAGTACATTTTTACGCGATACACAAAATCGTACCAAAATTATAAATATGAACCGTCCTCTTCACTTTTCCTCTCCCTTTTTCAAGTTTCATATCTTTATAATATAATATAATATATATAATAAGAAAATATTTTCCCTTTCCATGCATCCTCTCATCCGGACTTACACTTCCCATCCTTTTCTTATAAGAAAAAGGGTGGGAAGGGAAAGAGGACTAAATTAGGCCTCCGGGACGCACAGTCAGACGAAACGCGGAATTGCTTCCACTTCACGCCTGTCTTCTGCTTTTAAATACACAATTTAGTAATCTTGACTTGCATTCCAGATAGTTGTCTGTGGTAAGCACATCGCGATAATAATGGTTGTCAGGTAAAGATCCAAATATGAAACCGTATTTTCCAAGGAAATTCTCGATTACTGTACTCATTAAATCGTATAGTCATACATTCTTAATGTGTGAGCTAACATGAATGGTAAACTACATTTTTCCTTCATAAAAAAAAACAAGGGTATTCACATTATTTAAAAACATTTTACAACTTGCAAAACAAAATATATGAATTAAAAAACAAAATAAATTACTAGCTTTCGCCCGTGACTCCATCCGCGCGGAATTAAATAAAAGTTAAATAGTAGCCTGTGTATTTTTCCACACAATTTTCTTTATCTATACCAAATTTCAGCGAGATCCGTGGAGCTGTTTTGGAGATAACTTCAGACAAACATGCATCAATCCAAACATTCGCATTTATAAAATTAGTAAGATAAACATAAATGTATTCGCTTCGCTGCCATTCCCACAACCTACTTGCCCATAATAGTAACTAACCTTTTTAGTTAAAGCAATTGAATTTCATAACTTTGTTAATGAATAAAAATTTATATGATTTTATTTCCATAAATTTTTATCACTTCATTAAATTACACGCTTTAAGAATTCAAGGAATTAAAGTCACGATGAACATGCTAAACATCTGAGTAATGTAGATTTATTTTAAATATAGAATATTTTATAAATATTAATATACAACTTCCGCGCTAAAAACTGGCAACATCTCACCAAGTTCAATATAAACTGGCAACGTCAGTTTTAATAAATCATTTATGGTTTTTTGCAATTATCATCTTTTTTCTGTCCGTCGCTTGATTAGGCAAAGTTATATTGGACAGACGATTTGTTTTTCTGCGGCTTAATGATGTGTAAAATATACATCGAACTCATCGCGTCCGATTGAATTTATAACGCTCGTGTGTTTTACTAAATATCTAGACGCAATCTAATCAAGACCCAGAACTTATAAATTCTGAAAAATAATAATAATAATAAAAAATAATGATTTATATTTAGCATAAAATCACCTATTACTAATTATCTCGATATTTTTAAAATTAAATGCTGAATTTTCTTTCCATAAAAAGATAGATTTTGAGGTTAAATATATAAAATACTTATGTCATTAAAACTGTATATTTTCCCTAAATAGTTCTTAGAAACATACATTTTTCCTGTTTGTTTTATAAATGAAGTTAAATGTGAGCAAGATGTAGATATGTAGATGGAAATGGAAGCGTCGGGGCGTCGGTCGGGGCGCCCGAACGACAAAGCGCACAATACGTGTCAAAGCGAATAAATCGCCTAACGCCGAGATCTCTGACAGAGACACAGTGCATCACTGAAGACGCGCCTCAGCTATGAGAACGGAAAAGATCCCATTATTATATTGCATCGTGAGCAATATTTATCAAAGTACGCCTACGAGCTTAATGTACGACAACGCGTATTGTGTTTAAATCTTCATGTAACTTTTTATCGACAGTCCTTTTGTCAGTCATTTATATCGACGAAAGCAAACATCTACATTGTCTTTAGGCGTTTATAACTTCGCATACCATTATCCATTGTAGAAATATTACAAGGACGCAATCAGAAGTCAGTCACGCGTCATCAACGGCGGTGTTAATTACCATTGAATGGTGCTTCATGTACAGACGTCGGCAACTAGTAGCGGCTGCCGACAATGTTACAGTTACCTTGTCTCAGACCTCCGAACGACGGTTATGCAACACAACAATGAGCCGACCTCTACACTTATCATTAAGAAACGCTAACGAATATATAAAATTAAATTTTATAACACAGAGTTCTCACGCAAAACTGCAGACGTGTGCTTGAAGTAGCGACCTTGAGTTGAACTTTTGTAGCGAGAGTCAATTTTTTACCTCGTTATAGTAAGAATACTTTCGATATTAAAAGAGTTGAAAAAGGTTTCCGTACTCGGGTAATGTCTCAAGACGACCTTAAGAACAGGATCATCGGAGTAATTTTAAAGGTAATTGTAGTGGCCCATGCGAAGTGAACTGGTTTTTATACGACCAAGGTGAGCCGCCGCTCGCAGTCGACTTTTATCGATTTCATTGTCCAGTCCACCATACTTCCGGAACTAGGTCAGACAGCTGATCGCAAATTATATATTTAAAACTCATACTGCGAGCACTACGACCCACCTGCATGTTTATTTAACACAAAATGGTGTAGCATATTTTTAGTGATATTACCAAAATAAATAAATAAGGGAAGGCTTATCCCCAGCAGTAGCAAGCACAGGCTAATGATGATAAAAACAGTTAATAGTGTTCATCTAACTATTAATCTGTGAGGAGTTTAGGTACACAGCTTAAAATAAGTTAAAGATAAGTACATTTAATTTAACTACCTTATTTGGTACTGTGAGAAAAACAAGTGACATTAATTTTGCGGTAAACATCGCTGGTACAAGGCACGTGCAATTTTATAACAAATTGCAAATCTGATTCGAGTCTCATAGCGCGCGACCGCATCAACTATTCAGTACCTCACTCTGCAGTAGTCTGCATTATTGTTGTGCAACAATGCAATCTGTCGATCTCAAGATGTATTGCACCTCATTTTACTCAGCATACTGCAAATTTCTAACCAGCTCTACTCACATCGCACTTGGCAACTAAATCTAATATTGGTTTTGCTGCAAATCATAGAGAATCTATGAGAAAGAAACCGCATAACCATATTCCTGTGATTTCCCATAGCAAATACTTTCATAGATTTTCTGCAGTGGTTTCGCGGTCTAACAGCTATTTATCGGATGGAAACACAAAAGAATCTATTAAAGAAAGAATCTAATTTTCTCTATAAAGAAATCGTGATGCTACTATGACTAGTAAATTTCAAAACTTTATTGCTATTTCAAATACGATTTATGTAGATTTTAATCGTATACGTGATATTAATTCGATTCGGTAATATAGTTAAAAATAAATAAGCATAATTTAAGGTCTTTATAATGCACGATTATTTATATATAACATTTAACACGGTCGATGATATATTTCGAAATGTTTCACCACTTTACAGTGCAGCAATGGTCGTAGTTAAGGCGGCAAATTTCGATTTCGACGTGAAGGTCGCACCACGTGTTCGTGACTAACTGTGGCATATCTAGTTCACCGAAACGAAATAAGCCATTTGACTAGATCCTACTGCTACAGAATCCACTTTGAATTCGAAATGATTTGCAATTGAAATATTTGGAGTTGGTCAGACAAAAGTCGTGTTCGATGTTATGCAAAATAGCACGCGTTGACGATAATAGGAAACGCTTAATCGCAACAAATACAAATAATGATTTTTGATACTTTATAACAAAACAGAAAAATAAAATTTACCTTTAATTATAACATGATTGAAATAATTGAAAAGTCAACCAGTTCATTAGCTAAGTCTAAATTAGTTACGTTAAACGCTTAGTTCACTCAACTTAATACTTCCTGTGCACTATCTATTTTACTATTTATTTTACTAGATCAATTATTTCATCTCTAGAAATATATCTTTTATCCACTTTGTATGAACACCAAAAAATTTTATGTATTCAAGACATAAACGAACCTAATCTGGATTCTTACCTCGTTCATCCTTTATTCCTGCAATTTTTACGATTGAGCCTCTTATGAAGTCCAGATATGTTCGAATCAAATCCTATCTATCAAAGCTAATCTAGAGTCTAGTTGTTTTACCAATATTCTTCCTTTGGGAAATTTTACTGCCACTGGACGCAACTTTATAGTAGATGCATTAAAGTATTCATGATAGTTAAGCACTTAAAAATCATTGTTTAAATTATAATATAATTTATAGATACAAAGAAATAATAGCTACTATAATTGCTACTATTTTAATCACCGCTTTCATGGGGATACGAAATAAAGCTACGTCACGGTCCACTACGCTGTACGCTTTAATCTCGATTTCCGCTGGATCATTCTCCTTAATTTGGCTTACAGCTAATATAAACAATGTTTCATTTGAACTGATATCCAAATTTTGGTGCTACAGATACAATGTAATCATTAAAAACAAAAAAGGATGCAGTCATAAATTTACACTAAAATGTTACATCTATGATGGTTAAACCTATATTAAAGATTGTCTACACTATTATTTTGTATAATGTTATTTTTAAAAACAAGCTTAATATTTATGGTTATTAAAGATCTGAAAACGGATCATTTGGGTATATAATAACCCTGTAACCTTTAACATCGCTGAGCTAATAATCGTAGGTTGTCCAAAGTCGTGAAGAGAAGTGATTGGCGTTCATTCTTAGAATCACGACACAACGTTCATGTCGCTCGATTTTCGCAATACCCTAAACGTTTACTATTGTCGTCTGCTCAAAATGTCTTTTAATGATGTATCATTTAATTCCATTATACAAAACGTACGTAGGACGTGACGCCGTTGGGTCATTCTAAAAGTTATGACCCGTACAATTATTTTGGTTACAGTCTTTTTGCTTTTGTAGACCTTCATTTCAAATACTATTTACAAAACCACTGGCATCATCAATTATGACATTTCTCACGCTATTCCATTTTTTTTAGGAAATTTTCAAAGTTTACTGTAATATAATTTACCAAAGTAGATTAAGTCTGGCTTTTGTCTGTATTTTACGAAGACTTGTAGACCGAACTAATTATTTTTTTTTCTGTTAACAGTACAAAGACCACTGGACATCAAGAACAGACCTCGCATACCGATCCCTGACGAAGACCCCTACAGCATTGCCAGTTCTAACGCCAATGGCTCAGGATCTAGCGGCAGTTCCGGCGGATATGGACTGGGTAACGGACACGGCAACGGCCATGGCGTGGTGGCGGCCACACGGGAGCAACTTATGATGCAGATGGGACAGAAGAGAGGAGACAAACCGCCCAAGCTTCCTCCGCGAGAGAACGGCTACGGACCTGCTGATATACCCAAGGTCTGTTTTGTTACATTTTAATGTACTTAATCACATTGATTAGAATTTTTATGTACTCATCAAGCATTGTATTTATATCTACTATTAGTACCTTACTATAATTGGATACATTCAACTACAGCGGCCTATCTGTTTCATAAGGTCATAATAAAGATTTTTTTAAATGAATATGTGCGTAGTAAATTTCTTATTTAGTGATGCTGATTATATAAAAATAAATTTGGGCCCTTCTTAAAAAACAACGTACAAAAATACTTTCGCTCCAGGACAATCGTTTTCATAAATTTCAATTAAAAGGGTTCAGTAAAATAGTTCAAGTGGATACAAATTTATTGGCACTTAGAAGATATCGTATTTTATGACTAATACAACAATATTTCGAGAAGCCGAGATTAGTTCCCTAAAATATTCAAATGACGATTTACTTTCATTTAATGTAACAGGAAATAAAAGAAGATTCAGTATTTTCCTTTAAGTAAGTGGTGCATAATATTCTTGCAATTTTGGAGTACCAAAATGGTATAGAACATATTAATGTTGGTCTCTATAACACAATTTTTTACTTTAATGACTCGTGACGTTTTTTAAAGCCTACTCTTAGTAGTGTATCCCAAGAGTTATTCTTTTAAACTCGATAATATTAGATATATATATGTTATAACGACATTTTATAACCTTAAGTATTTAGTTTTCGAAATTAAAACCAAATAATTTTATAAATACTATCATTCGAGATAGGAATCCAGAGCTGTCATCGAAATTCCAAAAGCAATCCCATCTGTCAGTCCACAGACTAAATTAAGTCCATGTATCTTGACTTTAATGGAGTTGAGACCCTGACCCTTAAACCGCAAAAAATTCCAAAATAAAAAGAACTCAATAAATGCATTATGTGTCAGATAAGGGAACCGATTTACGCAAAGTGATTTTGAATCAGTGTCGCCTGACATGAATAATGAAAACCATATCCAATCAGTTCTTATTGAAAATACATCGGTAACAAATACGACACGAACCCAAAACTTTAACAATTAATTAAGTTCTAATTCAGAAGCTAATCTTACTAATATTATAATCTTAATTCTTACTAATTATAAATGCAAATGTTTAAATGGATGGATGGATGAATGTTTGTTTGTTGGTATCTCCAGAACGGCTGAACGGATCTCTATGAAATTTGGCATATAGAACATAGTCTGGAAGAACACATCAGAACACGTCAGGCTACTAATAATTTTTTTTATTTCCGGGCGGCCGGAGTCGCGGGCGACCGCTAGTGTATAACTAAAACAAAGTTAACTTGAAGAATTAGCACTTATTGCTAAAAGTATGGTCATTTTTTCCAAGTCTTTTTTGTCGTACTTTCTTATATAATTTCCATTCGAGTATCATGTATGTCATCTGTTCAAATCTGTAACTTATTTTAAACGTGTCGTGTGAACACAATGCCATTTCGCCAACGCATCTGTGATTCCATGACCGCTGAAGATAGATGGCAGTACACGCCCTTTAGAGGTCGTCTTCCATCTTCTTTTATTGGTAATCCAAATAGTACATTCCTTTAAAAGGTTGTAACTGTGACACAACATACATGAATTATGTCGCCCGCCTTTTTGTCCGCCACTTTTATTTTCCAATGTTTACGGGCTCTATTGTAAATAAAAGTATTTAAGCTGGGTGGTGCGAATAATTTCTTTTGCTACGATAAGACCACATCTACAATATGGGTTTGGTATTAACATTATTTGTAGTTTGGTCAATATTTTCTTAAAGCTTTGAGATAGTGCCTACGTAGTTACATTTCTTATTATTTGAATAAAGATATTTTACTTTATTCGGTAAACGGATCGATTTGTTTGTGCCTATTCTTTCAAGAATTTAATCCCCTATTACTTTTACTGCGTTATATTTCAAGTTGTCTGTACTGTATTGAACAGAGAAGTAAATAATGGCGATTAGATATAGAAACACATAAATTGTCGATCCTAGTATCATGACATGACCATATATTTCCATATTATATCTCTAGAATCGTTTTTGAGGATCTCTTTGATTTTATCTCATCATACCATTACACCAAATACGGAAAGCGCTTGCGCAGGACAAGACTCTAATTTATCTGGTTTAGTTGACAGCTTCTGGATGAAACTAGAATATATCCATGCTATTGTCTATCGTACATCTCTCTACTATTATATGTAGTTTTATATACACAACATTAATTTCCTATTTACTATTATTTCTTTATATACATCACGTTAATTCATTTTTTATCTATCATTGTCTGCAGCCGGATTACGATGACATCGAAGTGAACGGACGCGTCCCGTCGCAGTTCCCGAGAGGTAAATCGGATAAAGGAAAAGACAACAAGAAATACGGTTAGTATAAATATTACCTTTACTATTATATTACTGTTATATTTTTTCTAAAAATTAAAATATATGTTATATATTTATCGTCTATACTTTAAAAAAAAATTGGATTTTTAACAAAGCTTTGGTAGGAGCTATAAACAATAGAGAAGGTTTATGCCGTGTAAAATATAAAAAAGAAAATAAGCATAACAAAGAGCTTAATAGTGAAAATAAATATTCAATACAAAAATTTAACAACCAAATGATATGTATTATATGTTTCAAAAAAGATACAAAAAGAGTAAAGACAAGGGTTTAAGACGATGGAGGTCACCTTAAAGATGTCCGCGGCTAGAATTTTGCATGTAAATAGAATTTTAAAGAATGCTAAGGTATTTTAATTAAGAAACGGAATTACGGCTTCGTAAGAAAAAAAGCGAGTAGTTGAATCAATGAAAACAATTGTCGTAAATTGTACGAGCGTAATAAATTTTATTAATCAACCCACAATTGGGACTACTTTATTCCAAACATACGACAAATAAGTACTGGAATTTAAGTTTAAAATAACTCTACTATATGGAACAAATTAAATGTGTGGGGTTTTCCAGTTTTAAAACTGACGCATCCGGATAGAATCATGGGCGGGATCCAACCTTTTTGGAGATTATTGTGTAATGATTAATTTAGAGGTAATTTTGACCACTAAAACTGGATAAATTTAAATGAGTTCGAGTTAAAACTATAAAGTTCTGTCTACCTGAGTCTGGATTTTTTAGGACTCAAATTGAGGGTTCATTTGTAAAGAAAAGTCTGTTATTTTAGTATGTAGTTCAATAATGATTTTGAACTATATTTGCTTGTTAAACTAAATGCAGGATAATGGTTAGATGATATTTGTGAGAACACAAGTACATTTGGCCGGCGTATAGATTTACAATATCAATTACTAGGTTAACTTAGTACGTCATTGATCTAATTAATTTAATACATCTTTAAGTATCATTTACTTAACTATTACTAAGTCTATTGGTTAAATTTTCAATAGATATTGCTGCACTTTCTTTTATATTGACTACATAACTCTTGCTTTCTATTTACGTAGAATATTTTATTGTATTTTTTTAATAAAGAATCAAGCGTCAGTGTACTTGTTTACATTCACTATTCGTGTAACAATAGGTAGTTTATCAAGGTCATTCCACTTGATATATTCCTGCAACGAATGCCTTTGACAATACATAGGATTTATGCACGAAAATCTTTATTTACAATGGCAATACTAGGGGTGTGAACATCGTAATATCAATAACGCAGACGAATCGTTTATCAATCTGAGATGTCCACGACTAGCAGATTTACAGCGCCACCTGTAAAATATGAGGGACGTGTTTCAACTGCGCTTATTTGAAATAGTACTCACTACGAATGTGTTAGACGTTATCATCACCGGTGTTAGACGTAGATCGCAATTTTTGTATTCAGTTTTCTCCTGATTTAACATGTAAACTTCAGTCATTAAAAATCTCTTTTGAAATTCTAACTGACAGTTACTTCATGAAGAAAATTAAATGATTAGTGAAATAATTTGAAATAATGCAGTATAATAACAATAATAATAAAGACAGTATAAATAATGTTATGGGAGCTAGCAACGTTTTTAAAGTAAGAATTTCCAGAGCAAGAAGGACGACATATCACAAAGTTAGCTGACCTAAAATTCTTTCTCGAAAACGTTGCTAGCTCCTATAAGTTAGACGTATTTGGTTCACATTGGAATGTTCTAAATTGACGGCCGCCTCGTGCCAGTCGTCAGGCTAGGGCATAGGTTTACCGAGACAATGCTAAGCTATGTCGCAACCTCGCCGCACCTGGCATTTTACTATATCCTTGATATTTGAAACGGCATTTGACGTGACGTAGGATACGGAACGTTTACTGACTATGTGCACTGAAACTCATCATATTTATCTAACAGATTATAATTTGTTTTACTCATGAAACTAGTTGTTAAAAACCGAATTCCTTACAAGACCACCCGACATCTAGGCACTATACTGGCTAGCATGTCGACACAAAATAATATATATGAATAAAAGCGCAAATACTTCTAAAATATACGACTAACACGCATGGCACGGACGTTACAGTCCCCACATGTAGCACGTGGAACACGCTCAACGAACACGGCGACATGTTGGACATGAAGATGTTCTTCTCTTTTAGTTTATATCGCTTATATTATGTGTGACATCGGGGTTAGTCCAACACTATGTAATGGTAAATTTATGAATACAAACTTTTACTTACATTTATCGTAGGCTGAATGTTAGCGATTTTACAAAAAAATTAGGTACATGGTGTCGAATACGACTGTTAAATTGTAATAAAAGAAGAAGATTTAATACATAAAAGTATCATTGCCTCATAGTTTAATAATTGATATTAATTTAGGGCGTTTTATACTTACACCTAAAAAAACTTGAATTTCAGATGACCCGTACTACTGTGGGCTGCGCGCTCGCGTGCCCAACTTTGTGAAGGCGAATGGAAAGCACGTTCTACCGACGATGACGGAGCGGCTGACGCTAAAGGAGGCGCCGGTGCCCAGCAAGCGGTACAGCGTGGCGCACGCGCACCCCGGGCCCTTCCTACCGCACATGCCGCCCTTCGCGCATGCGCCCATGCCGCCCGCAGCCCTTTGGCACGCCCGCTCCTACGAGAGCGGAATCGGTGCGTACGAGCGTAACCCGAAAAAGGAAAAGCTGATGTATCAATTCTACCCCGACAGGGACCGAAAGCTGCGTCCCATGGTCATCCAGCAGCCCCGATAGTGTACATAGAAACTAACCCCCGCACTTTAACTTCGCGGACTCTTCGCTGCAGTCCTGGTATAAATATTTCCGTTTTATGCTTCGCTTGGTAGCACCACGCCTTTCGCTTCTCGTAAGTCACACTATCCTCACTCCACCTCCACAATTCTTCTCGTCTTTCTACCTTCAACTATCGCTCTTCAACTCTGTGATTTTCTGCTGCATTTTTCAGACCATTCTCACCATGGCGGTACCACCATCGCCAGACTTCGCCATTGCAAGCTTCGCTTCACCCTATAGTTGATAATTGTACCAAAAAACCTTTAACAAAATAATACTAAAGATTGCAAAATTTAGGACATGCAATAAATTGTGTTAATGGCATCTAATACTTTATAGATGTATTCGAAAGTCTCCGTGAGATCGTGATCGTGAACAGCACGATGTAACACGCTTGTAGTTGACACGCATATATATTTATTATATTTATATACATAGACACATTGTTTTTTGCAATTTTATTAAATGTTTAGGAATTATGTGTTTCGGAATACCAATTATTGTTGTTTTAACACAGTAATTTTACTAAGCTTTAACACTATTATGTTATCACGTGAATAATGCATCAATTGATTTTAGAGGCTATTCAAAATATACAAATGAAAAACTTTGTAACTAAACTACTATCTATTTTAAGTATCATTTCAGCATTATATAGTTCGATCCGGAGATTTGAATTTCTTGATGTTAGCTAGTAAAGAAACTAACAAAGGGCTTGTTTGATTTCAGATGGCGAGCACTACGACCCTTACGCATTGTACGGCCGGTTGCCTATGCCTGGCCGCGGCTTCCCGCCCCCGCCCGCGCCCCATGCCCGCCAAATGTTCATCGGAGAATGGGACTAGATCATACGGCACCTATTAGAAACTAACTCGATTGTATATCGTTGCATCGATGTTGTGGAAATTTGAAATCGATTTTTTCTCAATCATAAAAAACATGGTATGCACTAGCTACAGTACGTCCTCTGTATCTTTGAGACACCAGACTATAAGTGTAGCCATTATAATACGTTTATTCTCGATTTGTTTACATTTCAATAATATCGATGTGACTGTATAGTTATTGGATAATTTGTAAATATTTGTGCTTTTTGTAAATTATGAAATATCTGAAGACGGTCCATTCTGATTCTGATTATTCGATGAATGGTTCAATGAATTTTAAATCCTGGCAATATTAATTAGCAATTATGTTATTTTGTAAAGTTGCATAGATTATTTACGTATACAGCTATCATATAAGCGTGTATATGAATTTCTACAAAATATTTTTTCTACCATTTTTATGAGTATCCGTTTAATTTAAGTATGATGCTTAGTATAATCGTAGTTAATTATCACTGCCAATAATTATGTAAATGTCAGTGGATGATATTATTTTAAAAATTTGTTTTACTTCAATTATAATCGAGTTTTACTGCAAAATTTTCTGTTTCGTTTTTTACATATTTTTAAGTTAGGTATCAATCCTAGTCAATACAGGGTTGGGATGTAAGCAATTCTTAAAAATATCTTTTTCTTTTTTGTTTTCTTATTTATATCAGCAAAACCGCTGATTCGTTTGATGTAGTTTTGTACTGGACATAGTATGGATTATTAGAATATAGAAAATAATATTTTAGACATAATATTTGTATCTTTTATTATAAAAATTACAATAATTCCCTGTTGTATATAGACTTATTTCAATTAGGTATTTTATACTTTAGGAATTTTATTTTATTTAAAACATACATTTTCATTTTTTTATCAATACTCAACTATTTTAAATCTAGCTGTATAATTATTTTAAGTATAATTGAAAATAATATCTTTTAGAAATTCGAATTTCAAAATAAATTACGAGTTTTTGGAAATATTTTTAACGTCTTGTATACAGTTGAAATCGTCCAAAAAGTTTTTAAGATATTCAAATTTCGAATTAATTTTTAAATAACATTTAACTCGTCTACATTGTATACTCTTGTATATTTTTTTAGATTTTTACTTATATATTTTTAATGAATATAATTAACGAATATATAACATTGTTGTACATTCAAAATTATATTTTCAGAGGTGCTACACATGTTACCATTTTATTGTAATTTTTTAAGCGTATAAAGTCAATTTTAAATTTAAATAACGAGTGATAACCAAACCACGACTACGAATTTATTTATTTGAAAAAAAAAACAACAACAACAACAACAGCAATTATTTATTCATAAACATTTGCAACTATATTTAAATACAATAAAATTGTATTGTATAAAATCATATAAATTCTTGTATATTCTAGAACAAACGATTTGTAATTATGAAAATATGGATGTCCTTTGAATCCTTCGTCATATTAAATAGTGTGTTGCCCCTGAATTAAATTGGATAGATTAGAATAATATCAACATCCTCTTTGTATATCGCAGGGTGTTGGTTAACGAGTAACCTATCTTAAGGAAAATATGTATGAGTTAAATATACAATTATTTCTAATAACGTTGATTATTTTATTTTAATCTTTATATATATAATTCTTCTGTGAACTTCTCTCAAATGACTGGACCGATTTTGAAGAAATTTTTTGTGTGTGTTCAAGGGGATCTGGGAATGGTTTAGATTCACAATTTTCATCAAATATTAACTTCATATTAATTTATTCAAATTAAAGACGTATAGACAGGACAACGTCTGTCGGGTCCTCTAGTTCCCTATAATAGTGCAAAGACGTTAACGTATAGAACTCGATTAAAAAAGCAAAGAGATAATTCTGTTGTCTATTTAAGCAAATTCAAATGAAATACAGTATCTTCAAATAAATTCTCCAAAACCAATCCATTTCTTAATCAAGTATTTTATTTGTTTGATAGCTTCTTTTAATTCTTCTTCGCTATTCTTATAATTTGCAACTAAATCTCTACAGTGGGAAGCACGAGGAATAATTATAGCTGGAGCATCATACGATATGTCTTCTAAAATTCCAAGCCTACTCCACGGATCCATGTCCCCGTTGACAAACACAACTTTTGTTACATTCGGATGTAAACCTTTATACATATTGTTAACTTTTTCTATTCCATTATCAACTCGAACGTCATTGAAATCAATACCAAAAGATTTCATACATATCTTGACGTATAAATCTACCGGTATATTGTTTGTAAAAGGTTGCTTACTTGAACTAGAACTCTGAAAGTATCCAAATTCAGTACATGTTTGGTAAGTCCAACAAGCGATCCCGTTCGTTTTATTTTTGTAATAAATATCAATCATTCTGTCGAAATCATAGTCGTTACATTGATTTTCTGTTCTCCAAAAATTCGGTTCGTCATTATTTTGAGATTTCTGTTTGGTTTCATTCATCGTTTCACAGTCCTTTTTGACATCTATAGTGCGACCATATTGCACGTTTTGCATAAAATCAGACGCCTTATAAAGGAAAAACAGTTGTTTGTTTTCTGGTATACTCATATCACTTTCGGGGCAAATATTCTCTTCCTTCTTTAGCTTTTCGATGCCATCTTGAGTTTCAAGTAAATTTTCGTACCGTTTGAAATTATCTTTTATTCTAGCTAAGCAGTTATTAGTGCCGTATTGTTCATAAACGTCGTTTACCTTTTCTAGATACTCGTAAAAATCTTTCTTTGCTAGAACAGGTGCACTGCTTGCTACTGCCGCGTCTACCAATTCTGGGTACAATAACCTCATCCAAGCTGCCAAATTACCGGCGTAAGAACCACCAACCACGACTACTTTAGCTTTAGAAAAAAGTGGATTTGATTTAATTGTACGTATGAGATGTGCATTGTCGGCGAGAGCTTGCTTTGCGCTTAAATATTTAAAATAATCGACACTAGTGAATTTTAAGGGAACACTTTTTCCATAATATCTGTGTTCCGATGCAAAAAGAACACCATTCGTTTCCTTAGCCAATTCATATGCCATACCCCCGTATAAAAAGCCGGGCGATGCCTCGGATTCGCCACTTATAAATAAAATAACTGGACCATTTGGTTTCCAAAAATCGTTTCTTTTAAAATAACGCATATTCCATTTACGATTTTCTTTCTCATCAAAATGGTCTAGCTTCTGTTCCAACCATTTAGTTTCATGTATATAAGTTCCGAGAAATACAGAAGTCACTTCTTTTACCAAATATCGAAATCGACCATTGAAAACGAAGCCGCAAATGGGATGGATGATAATTAATAATTTAAAAATGTGTGATATTAACATTTTTAGTTTCAACGGTAGTTGAATCAACTCCCTCTAGTTAAATTCGTAACAACGCACTGAGCTATGTAGTATATTAAATGTTCTTTGCAACGTAATTGGTATTTATGCTAATACAAAGGAATTTTATCTAGGTGTTTAAAACGATGGTGGCAAAATTCCTCGCATTTCCAAATATTTTGTTTAATGTTATTAACACGTGTTACATTTGTAGGCAAAACACGTTCTTTCTCCGATGGAATATTCTTTTGCATTCTAATCATAGCACTTGCAAACTAAAGCTTTGCAATCTATTTTATACGGGTATTATTTAACATAGCACAATATACATGTAACCATTAACCATCCTCATCCTTTATTAATCCAAAGTTAGATCTTGAAGATCTACTGAGGATTCGCTATCTCTTACATAGTAGAGTTTATATAGAGTTCAAGTTTGCATAGTCTGTCAAATCCATGACGTCAAAGGTATATCGGCGCCGTTGTCATAGCAACATATAAACAACAAAGCTATTGCGCGTGACAATCAGGTGGATTATTTAATTAATTTACAGTCGCTATAACGTTACATGTAATTAGATCGTATCGTTATGGATTTTTCCGAGGGCAGTGTTGTGGACAGAGCGAGCGCGGTCAGACGGGCCGACGCCCCGCGTCCTGTGTCCAGGAGAGGCTATCGGGAATATACCAATACTGGATCCGCAGTGTCCAGGTAATTTTAAAATTTAAAAAAATTGATTGACAAAGTTTAGAAATCTAAGGCATGAAATAAAGGAATCCAACGGAAACATCATTTTTCTTATTTATCATTATCTAGGTTTTAGTATACTGTTTCAAAAATATAAAATTCCATAAATTTATACTGCCGAAATTATCACACGTTCATACGGCGAAGGAAAACTTCATAAGGCAATCTGCACATATCTGTGAAGAAATTTAAAATCAACCCGCACTGGGCCGTCGTGATTGAATTTGGCCTCGTCACCCCTAACTTAGGGTAGGCTCTGAGTCCTTCAATGGGGGCGTGATGATGAGAAATCAATAATCGATTGCTACTACTTCTACTACAATACTTATTTAAAGTAAACACACAGAAGCGGCAGCATGAGGCCTACTTCCGCGTATCGGGGCAGCACGGCATCGCGTCTCGCGACTGCTGGCTTTGGACCTGCACCATCTACTGCCAGCCGACAGCCAACTGCAATGACTGGTTTCTCTATGGTAAGACATTACAGCAAACTTAGATATCGCAAATATTAGCTAAGCTTCTGACAAAAGTGGTAAGGCTTATGCACCAGCTGCCTAGTTATAGTTTTATTCATTTTAATTTTGTTATTTAGATTGACAGGCCAATAACACAGCAAGGCATATCAGGACTTCGCACAGGAACAGCACGAGGATTTCGCACGAGGCAGCTGCAAGATAAGAGGTACTGGGAAGAGTTGATGCAAGTTAAGGTGCGTGAAATCAAAGCGGAGATAGCCCGACTAAGCGACAAGGTCGAGTCGGGAGAAAGAGAAAAATCTGCTAAGAAACACTATGAAAAACGAGTACGGGAACTGGCGCAAGAATTGACAGGTAAATATTTATCAACAACTGTGAACAACTGCGTAAATCTCGCTGAAATGTGGCATAGATGTAAAACGTAGCCTGGAAGAACACATAAGCTAATACTTAAGATTTTTTTCAATTGCGTGCGGACAGAGTCTGGCGACAACGAAATATGATTACTTATATTGCTAAAGATTCTTTGCAAAAAATATCTTATTTTACAGTCTATTTTTACTACGACGATAAGGCACCAACATTTTTCATGTTAGTCTCAAGTTGAGGCTTGCATATTTATCTATACACACAAAGGTAATTAAACAATAAGTATACTTGTCTTATCACAACAGTAGCTACGATTACCATTTTAATGTTTTCACTCTATTTAGGCTAATTGAGTGCATCGTACGCAGGAAATACGACATACATTAAAATTGGTATGAGTATTCGCGATCCGTAAGCCAAATTTCACCTTTTAGGAATCCATCAGGTCAGGTAAAAAATTATATCTAAATACGATAATGCTTAACAACCTCCCATTTTTTATAGATCTACAAGGCCGATTATCTGACTATAATACAGCCATTCGCATTGCTAACGGAGAAGCGTCGAAGCAGTCCGTAGAAGAACAAACAAGAGAATTAGAAGTCAGTAACAAGAAGTTGCAAGAAGAAGTTGAACAAGTGTTTTTAGAGAAACAAAGAAAAGAGAGCCAGCTAAGGCAGTTAAGGGAACAAATGGATAAGGTATAAATCTAAAAAGATTATAATATTAACACAAGTTCTGCCAACACCACGGTTCTACATTTTTAAACCCCATTTGTAACAGGAGCAATCAACAATATCAGAACTACTGTCAGAAATGTCGCCGGAACAAAGAAAACAATACAACGAACTAGAAGGTACAGCTGCCGCTTTAAGAGAAGAAGCAGAACAAGCAAGAATCCAGATAGATAATCTTACTAAAGAAAAAGAGGAATTTAACAAAGAGATCTCTATGTCCCAGGTACTTATTTATTTTTACTACAAACTCTAACAGCATAGATGCTTTATACTTTAAAAACCTTCAAATTTAAAACATGAACAACTACGTATTTTGTTGTATAGATAAAGGTACACTTATTGGAATTACATAGACGATTAGCAGCTGCAGAAGAGAAACGCGATAGTCTTAAGAATGAAATAAATAACCGTTTGGATCCTCAAGAGGAACGAGAGAAATTGTTGCAACAGGTAAATAATAAGCCATTTGTAATGGATTTTATGATATCGTATTTCGAAATTCAGACTTGAAGTTTAAACATTAAAAAGATAAAGTTAGATTATTTTTACAGGTTCGAGAAGACAATGCTGCTATTGCTTCGTTAGATAGTAATGCAGCACATTTAAAACAACAAATAGCGAAAATTCAAGAGTTAATAGAACAGGCTGAACAGGTAAAATAATAAAAATGTTTTAATTAGAAAGAGTATGTGCCCAAAGTAAAATTAATTCAAATATAAATAACAATTTTAGGATCTTGAAGAAGGTAAATCCGAACGTCATCAAAAATATAGAGAATTGAAGAAACGAGAGGAAACTATGGATGCATTTTTGTCTACTTACGAAGAAAATCTAGCAAAAGAAAAAGAAAAGATTGATCAATTAGAGAAAGATATTGTATTTGCATTAGAACATAGCAGCTCCAATATCGATCTAGATCTGAGCGAGATAGATTCATTGAAGAAGAGAGATGGATATAATATGGCATACGATGAAAGTAAAAAATCTGTGGAGACATTGATGAAGGATTATGAAAGATTTCAGTCAAATCTTAAGAAAGTACGGTTGCTTACTTTGCTACTAAGAATTTTGGTGTAGCATAACAATCAGTAGTGTAATAACCTAATTGTTTATTTTAGGTAGAAGCTACGCGTGAACGTTTGTTAGCAGAACTACTAACGCTACCAGAGAAAACACGAGTAATGCAAGAAGAACTTGTGACCCTTTCTGATCTAGAAAAACTGCGAGACGAAGGTAAAAACATCTATTCAATTCATTTGTCGATATTTAATTTGTAACAAGTAATGAGTTGTAACAAAAAAGTACTATTTATTTTAATAGGAGAAATAAAGAAGAAGGAATTACAAAATGAGCTGCAAGTTTTGAAGGAAAAACTAACTCCTACCGAAAGCGCAGTTATAGAAGCAGCTAATAAACTGAAAAAAATACAGGTACATATAAAAGATTCTGATATTTCAAGATTCATCATTAGAAAAGAGGTTAAATATACAAGCTACGAGAAAAACCATTAAAGATCTATATTATGGTAGTTACTTAAGCTTATTACATAGTGTATATGGTAAATAAGAGGTTATTTTTATGTAGGCGGCGTTAGATGGAAATGAGATGTATGCAAAACTGAACAGTTTAGAAGACCAAGTTGCCAACCTTGAAAACAGGAAGACTATATTGGAAGAAGACATAGCATCGATTACTTCAAAAGCTGATTATGAACCAATTAAGAAGGAAGCCTTGGAAGTATTGGAACAGTTGAATCAGAAAATAATAGAAGATCTTAATAGTACTAAATCTTATTGATTGTATTTTCTAACGATGAAATAAATAAACTAACGTATGCCACTACTGATGATAATATTTTTTCAATTCGTCCATATTTTTCTATGTCCGACCGCGTAACTCCGCCCCTGGTGCTCTGATTTTGTTTTTTTTTGATCGAAAAGTTTCGCTAGCAGTTGTGTCCCATTTTATTTTAACAGATAATTTAAGGTTGCATTTTATAATTTCCCTTTTAAACTTACCTTTCATTTGTTTGTTGTTAATATCTCGGTCTATAATCTCCGTTGAAAATATTGCTATCTCTGTGTTGTCAAAGATAATGTAAGGGATGACGATATTTTTATACAGATATTTTGATCTCAGAAACCAACGGTAAGAGAAAGTTTTAGTTCCTTTTGTAATCATGAATTTGTTCAATATATGAACACTTAACATATTAAATTAAAAGTTAAATATTTTCAAAACGTTTTATTAAATTACGACACAATAATTTAATATCACAGATTCTACAAGTCAACATTGAAACTAAATTTAGTATAGACGTTATATAATATTTTTAAAAGATCAAATTATAAATTAGCTTGCCTGGTCTCCTTGTCAAGTAGGACAACTAGATCCGCTGGTATATCTTTATTGTTGGCAGTGCAAAGAGAACAAAGGTTACGTATAAATTTCTGTGATGGAGTCACATCCGCTTCTTGCATCTTAGTCCAAAGTACAAGCCCGTCCTTGTAATTATTGTCTCGTTCTAGAACAATTGATATCTTACTTATCTTACTCTTACTATAAAATATCATAAATTCAAATATTTGGATGTATGGATGGATGGATGCATGTTTCTTAGAAGGTGTCTCCAGAACGGCTCAACGGATCTCAATGAAATTTGGCACGGATGTAGAACATAGTCTGGTAAACTCATAGGCTACTAATTAAGTTGTACTTTAGTTGCACGGACGGTGTCGCGTGCGGCAGCTAGTAATTATCAAAATTTAAGTACGAACTGTTGCTCGACGACAGCTGTAATGTCTAACCGCTTGAATAACAACCATCTCTCTTCTTTATATTGGAATAAAAAGAGACAACAATATGTTTTGTACATACTCCCAAAGTAAAGTAACATGGTGTGTGACAGAGATAACGCTATACAAATTCGAAATCTTTTACTAGTAAAGTTGGTAATAAAGGGATTGTTACTTACGATAAACTTCTAACATCAAATTATATAAATCTTGAACGTTAAATATTCTTAGATCCTTGACGCATTCAGCCACAGTTTCCAAGGCAGAGATTTTCTTCTCATCGGCAAATCTTTCGCAGTGCCTGAGTAACGCGTCTGGATGGAACTTCACTTTGGGGTCCAAAAGCAACTTGCGTAGAGTCTTTTTATAACCGACGTCTGCTAAGGCGGCCATTAAAGTGAGCTATAAATTAAAATTTCATAATTTTTTTTTTCATGACTGATTTGATGTCTCACTGGTTGCTATTATACTTTAAATTCGTTCAACTTATTATAAAAACGAATAAATTGTTTTCATTCTTATTTCAAAATATTTGCCCTTTAAATTCCTAATATGGTATTATTAAAAGTTCTTTCGTAATAATAATCCACAATATTAAAAGGTTTGTCAAATACATTCCATTTTGGTCAACACTTTTAATACCACTGAGTACTAGATTGAAGTAGCGCAAGTGTGTGACACTGACCGTGGGTTTCTAAGACTTAAATCTTACTTTAAACCTTAATTCGAGTACTTTTTTTGTAGCAAAAAAAATGTTTTTTTTTTAGTAATATAATACTTACAGATTTTTTTAATTAGTTGTTCGTCACACTGAACACTATCGAATTAAAGGTTAAAACATAGTGCTATCTCTGTTTTACTAAAGGATGACTATATTTTATGCAGAGACCTACGTCTCAGAAACTCACGGTTAATACGTTAAATGTATGTTAATATTAGTTGCTACTTTCTTCATGTTTGGTTTAGACATATTATATAGTAAATAGTAATAAATCCTACCTGCACATCTCCCGGACCGTGAACTTTCTTATCAATATTTAACACTTTCTGCACCAATTTATTCTTACTTCCGTTACTCTTTTCATTTATAATGAAAGTATCTTCAGAACCACCGTCCCCCATAGCAGTTAATATTTTGCACAACAATTCGTGTTTTAATGGAGTCTTGTTGTATTTATTCGCTAAAGTAACAAATTCATTTATAGCGGCATCTATATTGTTCCTGGAAAAAATTATGAAATTTTAAGGAAGTTTTTTTAATTGATATATCAACTATAGTAACTCATTATTATGTAAAGTGGTAAATGAGCAAGCGGCTATTTGAATTTAATAAAGGAAAGGGATAGACAATATGTATTAATCCGGCACTATTAAAACTGGTGGGTGCCGGATTATTGGAATGTTCGGATTACTGGATTATAGTAAAAGTCGTAGGTAATGTAAATTTTATAATTCAAATCTAGTGTCTTGTGTGCGTTTATTTGACATTTTTAACTATAAACTACTCTCACTTAAAAAAAAATAGTTTTAAGATTAGACTGGTAGTCGACGAAACAGCGACTAAAGCGCAAAGGTATAGAGGAGCGACGGAGGCGTGGGTGGAGGGAGCCGGATTATTGGACGCGCCGATCTATCGAAGTGCCGGATTAGGGAGATTATACTGTATTACAGTTGAATTTTTAACGAAATGGTTAGGAAATAAAATTCCTCGACTGTACACGAATGAAAATACTGTCAGGAAGAAAATCCGACACAGTGCCGGTGTACTGGCGCACTAACCTTACCAAAATGTCGACGTTTATGTTCCCTCACTAATTATTCTGTCACTTGACATTGCAATGAAAGCGCTATTCGCGACAAAGGATTAACCAATAATGTGTAAAAATACTTACTCGTTCAAGTGTACTCGTACAAGTGGTCCGAGTAGAGTGTTGGTGGGCTTGCAGTAGCGCAGTTCGGTGAGCAGACGGAACATGCGGCGCGTGTCGTCCGCGCTGCCGTGTGTCGCCACCGCACTCAGCAGGCGCCAGCAGTTCATAGACACACTCCTACCTCCTATCACACGTCTATACCACAAAGTATTATTCCTTAACTGTCATCTGGACCCAACTAATAAATATTATTATCTTAATTTTTCATTTAATAAAGAGAAGAAAGATTTAATTGTCTGATTATTTGATTGCATTGAATAAGCTTCGCAACTAATGTATCAACTTGAAAAATTCTTTCATCGTAAGAAAGCTACACTATCCCCGAGTGCTATAGAACATATTTGTTATTATTATTTTTTTAATTCTACCCCGACGAGGTCGCGGGTAAGTGCTAGTTGATTATGAACATATTTTTTTTAATAAAAATATTATGAATATTTTAAGTGGCAATATTATTATTGTAGCTTTAAATGGTTAGCTAATTTTATTAATTAATTGATGTTAGAATATAAATTTTTATAGAAAATAACACGTTATATACATTATAAACCTGTTAAAAAACAGAAATGTTGTTTTCGTAACTTAAAAATAAATCTTACCGATTTTTCGATTGTTCGCTTATCAAATCGAATGCTGGTTTTATCTTGTTCCTATATACCATTAGGGTGGCGAAATCTATCACTTTAAACTCATCCAGAGTGAAATTAGGGAAGGTTTTGTTCAGATCGCTGAGTGCCAGCTCAGCCGCTTCCAGTTCCCCGAGCTTCACGTGCAGATCAAATATGGCCGCCTTCATACCCGCTGATAAGAATACCTACAAATATTAATTACTAATATACCTATAGAAATTTATAGTGCGACCAACATACTTGGTCCGGTGATGGGGACGTTGTTATCGCAGTTGTTAACATAACAAGACAGTCCAACTTGGATATTGTAGCAAATTTTACACATTATTAGCCAAAGAAATATTGTCGTTTCGTCAGACTATAATTTAATTTCACTTATCGATAAGTTTAACTGTACAAATACTTCAATCATTTCCATACTCCAATATATCTGTGAGAAAAGCAGAGAAAACTCTCAAAAAATATGTAAAACCTACTAAGGCACAGAAAATTACATAAAAGAAAGAAACTTGTCATGACAGCTACAGTACAATGACACTTTTTTGATTAACAGAGGGGCGCTAGTGAGCTATCGTAATTTATTTTAACTTATGCCCACCGGGTCAGATAACTTTATCAATCTATACAATTATTTGTGTTAAATCTTAAGCACTTACCCCTTCTTTTTTACATTTGTCTAGTATTTCGAGTGCGGCAGGCAAGTTGTTCTCTCTGCAGTACTGCTGGAGCAACTTGCGCAGTACTCCGCGTGTGTTCATGCCCTTTGCCTCCAATTCGTTTAGATGTGCCCTTAGTGATACTTCATTCATATTTTTCTACAAAAAAAACAATACCAAAACGTTATAAATTAAGCGTAGCTAAATCTGATGATTTTCACAGAAACTTTTTAGTAACAGAAGTGTATTTTTTTTATTCAAGCCAA